AGGAAGGATCCTGCATATAAACTGTACGGAGCCCTTCATCGTGTTGTTTGACCCCAAACACTGGGTTCGCCTCCCTCCACGTGTTGATGGATGTTTTAGTTCACCTCCTTCCGCCTCCTCCCCTCCTGGACTCTATTGATACGCTGGACTTGCGGTCATAGGCCGGCATACGTTACACTTGGGAATGAAATGATATACTCTACAAAGCAATGTATGCTCTTATGCTCCAAAAATCATCTGAATACGATCAAAAAATGAATTTGGAATTGAAGTATGGTATTAGATGACTGCATGGCTATCATGTCCTGTGGCACTGAAACTAAACCCATATGAGACAGCTAAATTTGTTCTGACTAGATGGTCAGCAATGGCCAAAACAGTGCCTAAGATTGACCTTTCCTCTTATGTGATCAAATCTAATAGTTAAGAGTTTTCCAGGCCTCCTTGAGGCATTTGTGATCCATACACCATACAGAAAAGGAGAGAATATGCATGTAAATCTGCCCTCTGAACTTCTCCAAGAGTATAAAAATGTCCTAGGTGTAGGGCTTTCAATGGAATTTGTACCATTATACAATTTATTCCTATGGTGCATTCAAGGAGATGCTGGTACACATCTCATAATAGAAATGACATCAGACTTATGGAGACCATATTAAAGGAGGTGAAAATTCATTTGCATAACTGTTGAACTATAACTTCTGCCTTACCAGATTTGATTTTTCTGTCAGAACAAAGTGATGTTAATGTTGTTTGGGGTCAAAGATTTTCTGCATGGGTTGGGTAAAAATTAATTTCTAAAAATATTCATATCTGGGCTGTATAAGATATAAGTAAAGGTAGTACTTCAAAAAACTGCAAACTTCAGCATCCATAAAAATTTATTATTAGATCAGTATCTCCAGTGATTTAGCAGCATTATTATTTCATTATATCTGGTCTATTGGCACAGGAGAGAGACCATGTAAAGTTGGTGCCCTTTACCCTCCTGCATATTTACAGGCCCAAATACTTGGTGGTAAATGCAGATGAAGGAGAGCCAGGGACTTGCAAGGACCGGGAGATATTGCGTCATGATCCACACAAGCTCATTGAGGGGTGTCTTGTAGCTGGGAGTGCAATGGGAGCACGAGCTGGTTAGTTGTGAATTGCAGCAGAGCCCCATGGCTTGCAAAGCCTTGTTTTCATTTGAAGCAAAATGTATTTTCTATAGCATACATCTACGTTCGAGGAGAGTTTTATAACGAAGCATCCAACATGCAAATTGCCATCAAGGAAGCTTATGAAGCTGGCTTAATTGGGAAAAATGCATGTGGCAGTGGCTATGACTTTGATGTCTTCATGCATCGAGGGGCAGGAGCATACATTTGCGGCGAAGAGACATCTCTGATTGAATCCTTAGAAGGGAAGCAAGGAAAACCAAGACTCAAGCCTCCCTTTCCTGCAGATGTGGGTCTCTTCGGGTGTCCAACCACTGTGAATAATGTTGAAACCATTGCCGTTGCCCCTGTAAGTTGATATTTCAAATCCCCTTTATATTGGGCCTCTTTTTCCTGATAGAAAAAGGACTGCTTATTGTCCAATTTTTCATGTATGTCTGCATATGTCCTATTTTTGTTGTTTAATAACTCAAAAAATTCAACTGCACTCCCTGTAGGTTTGTATTTGGTGAATTTGTACCAAGTACTAACTTATCACATTTTCACCTCATTGGCATCTAAGAGAATGGGGCAGCAGGATCTCTCATTTCCTCACAACTGCCCTCCCCTAATTTTTCTTTTTTAAAATTCATGTTTACAATTAATTAAAACCTGATATAGGAAAAATTATGGTTGCTGAGAATCAGAATGAGAATGTATTTTGTTTAAGGTGGTGGTAAATACCCACTTTAATGAAAGGAAGGCCCTTTCTGAACTAAGCTAGTGTTTATCAGTTTTGCTTCATTTTGAGGAGAGTGACAAATCTTAAGATTATTTCCAGACCATTTGCAGACGTGGTGGGTCCTGGTTTACCAACTTTGGAAGGCCTCGCAACACTGGCACCAAGCTTTATAACATCAGTGGTCATGTCAACAATCCATGCACTGTGGAGGAAACCATGTCCATCCCTCTGAGGTTGTCTTGCCTCCTTATCCACAGAGCCCTTGGCTTGTTTTCATCCATGCCATATACTTTTGATATGAGCTGTCTAATTAAGAAAGATCTAACCCTCATGCTATTACTTCAGGGATTTGATTGAAAGGCATGCTGGAGGAGTTATTGGAGGATGGGATAACCTTCTTGGTGTTATTCCTGGAGGTTCCTCGACACCTGTTATCCCCAAGAGGTAAAGCCATTCTGTTCTGCTGAGGCCACTGATTGAAATTGGCTGTTTAACAAAGATGTTCTATATCTATACAGTGTTTGTGATGATGTTCTGATGGACTTTGATGCCCTGGTGGCAGCTGACACAGCATTGGGGACAGCTGCTCTCATTGTGATGAACAAGGAAACAGACATCATCAAGTCGATTGCTCGCCTCATTGCTTTCTACCAACATGAGTCTTGTGGTCAGTGCACCCCATGCCGCGAGGGGACTGGCTGGATGACAAAAATCATGTATCGTTTTGGTATGTCTTATTTTGGAAATCCCTGTACATCACTGAGAATATTTTTTTTTTTACATTTCTGCTCTTTCACAATGCAGTGGAAGGCCAAGGTCAGCCTGAAGAAATTGATATGCTTTGGGAGCTGAGTAAGCAAATTGAAGGACATACAATATGTGCCCTTGGAGATGGAGCTGCCTGGCCTGTTCAGGTAATATACCTTTAAGTAAAAAATTATTTGAACTTAATGGTTGGTGGCATGTTTTCAGTCTTTGAAGGAGTGCATTCTGGATAAAGAAAAAATTCACAAGGTTGAGAAAATCATTCACAATGTGAATCACAGGCATTTCAGCATCAAAAATGTAGTTAAGAATTGTAGAGGTCAAAAATTTACCTTACTCTGGTAAACTTTTTCCTAAAATGTAAATATTTTGCATGCATTGTTCTGTGTATGCCACAGTATTATTATATACTGGAGTGTTGTTTTCTTCCTCTAGGGTCTGATACGACATTTTCGGTCAGAAATTGAGGCAAGGATGAAGGCATATGGAAAACAGGAAAAGAAGTCTGCAAGAGTTTCGTGAGAAAAATCTTTAACTTGCTAGTGTATTCATCTATGTCCTATAAGAGTTAGATTTCCTTTGATGAGAGATAAAATTCAAAAAGTGATCCTGTGAGTTGCTCTTTCTTTTGCATACACCAGTAATCAAGTCATGTACATTCCAGTAGTGGTATAAGATTTGGCATGAATCCATGAAGATATGGAATACATTTAAAATTGCACTGCCCACAATTTGATTGCCTCGATGTGATGCTGTTAACATGTCTTCTCATGCAAATGCTGAAGTGTGGAGAGCATGAATCAAGCTAATTATTGCCTAATGTTGAAAAATATGTACTTTCAGTTGGAAAAATACAGAAAGGGTGACTGATTGCATCTGTATGCTAAATTGTTGGAGCCCAACAGGCAAATAAAACACAGAGACACGGCAACTACAAACAAGTCATTTTTGGCTTTGTCTACTCGTACAGCAAGGTCAGCTCATCAAAAAAAAAAAAGAGGGGGGGGGAAAAAAACAATGCAAGACAGGTAACAAGAACAAGAAATTTGCTGCCTTAAGCCTAGGACATACAAGGTTTACTGCTGCTGCTTCTGCTCACCAGTATAAACTCAATCTATATGAAGCCGCTCTCCCTGAATACCAAGCTTTCCCGATTTCATGTCCTGCACCGTCTTAAAAGCACTGGCTTTTTTTAAATTACAGTTATACATACAGCATACCTACTCAATGGCAGGATCTTTGCTAGTGCCTCAACCTTATGATGGTGACCCTTCTATCAATCCTCACTCTGAAGTTGAAATTTTTTCTTACACAGTCATGACAAAAACCTAACCTAGGGAACTGAAGCAGCCCATCAACCATCCACGACAACATGACCAAATGTAACAAAAAATTCAATCACAGCTGTTATTTGTAGCTTTGTGGGCCAGTTAACAAGAATTTGCTCAAATCAACAGCTTAGAGGTCATCACCACATCTGGTGCTCTCGAAAGTTTTTCTGCCGTTGAGGTGAACCTGAGATGGGGTGACATGCAAGTGTGTTAGGACATTCGACACCAAAAAGATTTCCATGCATTACACTGAAAACCCCAGATTTTACCAGAAGGAAGCTCCACATCATGCACAGCATGAACCTACATCTGTCATTACAAGAAAATTTGTGTGTTGTATTGCAAGATAACTTGCCACATATTGCATGCTCTTTTGCAATAAAACTTGCCTGCAGATTTTTATGTCTTAAAGTGCTCAGGTTAGTCAAAGTGCAAGCTGCGAAGGAGGAATTTATTCATGAGGACACCAGTGGTGAGAGTTGTGGTCCAAAATCAGGTTTATATTTCTGCAAGGTTTCACTGCCATTCCAGAGCTGAATCAGAAAGCAAATTAAGAAGGAAGATAAGCGTTTTGCCAAAAACAAATATCACAGCTTCAGGAAAACTCATGCAGATTGCAAGTCGACCTGAATGGGATACCAGCTCGGGAAAGGGTGAGACTTTGCCAATGCGGAAAGGGAAGTACGAAAAAAAAATCCATCACATATTCACCTCGAGAGCCTTGTGAAAGGTACGACCAGAGCCTAAGAGTAAAGGAAAGGGAGGGAGAGCTTAATAGGTCAGATAGTCCTCCTCCCAGATGGGGACAACTTGATCGTAGTGATGCCCACGTCGGGTACGTGGTTCCAAGACTGTATCATCGGGTGGAGGAAGACTCAACCATGGATGGTGCAGAACATCCTCGGCCGACAACCGTTCCCCTGGGTCCATACGGATCAAGGAACGTATCAAACACTGGGCTCGTGGCGACACGAAGTCCGGGATCACAAAGTGACCACGACAAATCTTCATCATCACACCTCGTCGGTCCACGTCACTAAACGGGTACCTGTCCAAACAAACCCCTTGGCGTTGCATTGAGCATGCATTGAGCGGTGTGCACTAAGATGAATGGACTGGGATTTGCGACTAACCTGCCGACAAGCATGGTATACAGAATGACTCCCAGGCTCCACATGTCAGCTGCACGGCCAGAATACTTCCCCTGGTCCCTGCGCAAAATTTCGGGGCTGATGTAAGCCAGACAACCCCATTTGTACGTAAGGGAATCATCATCTCCATCTAAAAGGACTGCGTTCTCTAAAGTCTCCAAGCATAAATCCTTCCTGCAAAGAAAAGCATGTAACACTGTGAATGGGGCGTGTATTTAAATCAATGAGATCACAACAGAACAAACTAGCGCAAAATGTAGATCATTGACCGCAATGCAAAGTGAAAAGCAGGGCGGCAGGTGAGTAGAGGGGGTGCAGAGCGACGGCATTAGCCAATCATGCGACATTCGTGATGACATCATTCCGCTGAGGGTCGACATCATTGCAAAATGTCTTTACAAAATCCGGTGAAACCGTTTCTCAACCTGAGAGCAATATTGCATCGCGCGGGGCTTGGTCAACATCCCCGGTCGAGAGAGCAGAGGAAACCGGTCCTTGGGCGTGCCTGCCGTAAGAGCGAGAATCCCTTGCCCAGCGGGGCATCGAGCCGACCTTCAGCCAGCGCTGGTTAACAGGGCAATGCATCCTCCCTCTCGCATAGAGCCCTATACAGCACGGAAAATTCCCCCTCCTCCTCTAATACATTGCCCACTACACTTTTTCCTTTCCCATATGTTAGTTCATCGATCAGGATGATGGTGGTCTGTTAGAGATGAGAGGAACCTTCACCTCTTCTGTAGGCCTCTACTGTGTCGTGACGTCAAAAATGACGTCAATGCTGGGGAGGGCATTGCGCCAGACCAAGCATTCCTCGTCCCATGCCTTCCGAGACCGGATTTCGACCAACATTTCCGCCCTAACGCGCTAGAGGACAGAGGAGGAGAGGGGAGGTACAGAGGGCGAAATCACTTATCGTGGAAGGAGGGGGGCATCGCCCATCGACCTTGTCCATCGTCCCCTCTCACACCAGGAACCAGGAAGCGTAGGCTCAATGCCGAATTTCTTCATCGTTTCCATCCATATATCGTATAACGGGAACTTCCTTTTTTTTTGCTTTCACAACCGCGAATCCTTGTTGGGAAATGTCGCAACGGTCAACGTCATCCTACTGTAGCCATCAACATGATTCCCTTTCATCCAGGAACCACTTTTTTCCATGCAACGCCTATCGATCCAACTGTTTCGTTCTGGATGGTGGAAAATGAAGTCTGGAGGCAAGGAAAGTCACCGTGCGTATGTGTGTGAAGAGTGAAAGAAAACGAGAGCCCCTTCTCTTTCACTACTTTCCAAGGCATCGACCTCAGTTCTCTTTCACGACGCAATCCCAAGCTGGACAAGGGAGGTTTCCCATCACCTCTCATTTCCTCCCTTCCACACGAAAGCACAGGCCCAAGAAGGTGCTCCGGTGTAAAAACTTCCCCCACCCCAACGGCTCTCAGAAAATCGATACCAGTGCCAGGCATTAAGCAACGCCGGAAGTAAAGGCATCAATCCCTGCTAATTTTCGTCCTGGCACGAAATGCATCATTCAGGCAAGTACCAAAGTACGGTTCCGGGCAGCACTCAAACGAGTACTACTTCGATGCACAAATAATTTCCGCCGATTTTCTTCGTATAATACTGGCTAAATAAGTAGCGAGGCGTGCCCCTTTCGAATTCCAAGAGAGATGTTACGGGAAGGGAAGGGGACAGGGGATTGAACTGAGAAAAAGTGAAGAGAGAGTTCAGTGGCCGAGGTGATGTGCAGCCGGGCTGTGGGCCTTTCACTCTCCACCGGGAACCTAGGACAGAGGCGAGGCGAGGCAAGGCAATGAACTCTCTCTCTCTCTTTTCTCAGCTGGCCACCAACGCGGTCTACGCTTATAATTTACACTCCAGTACTTCTCGTGTCCGTAATCTCTTCGCGCTTCCCTCAAATCCCCTTTCTCCGGAGATCCGCTACTCTCCCCAGCTTAACAGGCTCAGTCTCTCCATTCTCAAGTCCAATCTAACTTCAACGTAACTCTAAAACCTGCAATTCGTGGAGTTAAAAAAAAGGACACGAGTACTCTCTTCGCTACAAAAGATTACGATGAACCTAAGGGCTTCACAAATAAAGAAAGAGGAAAATAAGAGTGCAATCGTGCGTCAAGCCATCATGATTTACGCATCCGGCACGAAAATTCCAATATTCGCCCCGAAACCTGTCCTTGCACCGAGAAGTCTCGCAAACGGAGAGTTTGGCAAGACCAGGATTGCAAAAGGGGATGTTAACGGAGGGAAAGAGATCTCTCTCCCCTCGCGTGGATTGACCAACACCTGGGCCCAGAAGGCCTTGAGTAGCTCCTGGGTTACTCCATCGGGGAGCCATACGAGGGAGACAAAAGTCACGCCTCATACATCGATCCACCATCAATCCAACCAAGGGGAGAAAGGTTGAAACCGAATCCTATATCTTACCCGATGTGAACACTACTTATGGCACATTTCCCTACTCTTCGTCTCACCAGAGGACTCCAAATATCTTGAAGCTGCTCTCGCGCAAGAGTTCACGGCAGGCAGGTTGTCATGAAGTCTCGAGATTGTGGCAAGATCTACCATAATCAAAGCGTGCCGTGGGCCCGAGCAGTGTCTAGGTCTGGTTTGGGGAGGTTGTGACTTCGACTGGTGAGGGTCATTTGCCAATCCTGGCTAGGGATTGCTTCAATCGCGCCCGCTTATGAAACCCAGTGCAATCGGACGAAGGCCTGCCTGCACCACTGTTGCGCCAACCTCTCTCGTCTCTCTTTCGATAGCGATCACGTCACTATATTTCTCATGTCCTCCAGTCTCTCTTTCCACATTTCACAACCCCCCTTCGAGGACTCACCGATCAGGTTGGAGGAAGACGAATTTGCGGAGCTTCAGTTCCCTGAGGATGACTCCATTCTCGTGGCAGGCCTTAACGACCTCAGCCACTTGCCGAAAGAGGTGAGCCGCCCTAGGTTCCGTCAATCGTCGACATCGCCGCACGTGAGCTAACAGGTCTCCGCCGGCTGGTTTCCCATATAGGGCGTAACTCCGGCTCTCTCCTTCGATCAGCTGAACCAATGGATTGATATGAGGGTGTCCATCCAGACGGTAATGTACTCCCATGTAATCCTTGATTCCTTTCTTCTCTGAGATCTGGAGACAAACGGGAGTGGAAATAAAAAATCAACCATTCGAATCACCGCAGACGTGACATCGATAGATGCAGGATTTCCACAAACATCTGACAACCAAAATCCCAAAGGGGATTATTTCCTGGATCAAAATTAGCCTTTTCATTCACCACCATCCAACAACCGTTCATTTCTTCCATTTCCTTTTCGAGCGACTGATGGAATTTCGCCAATTCACTTTTTCCTTACTTCAATAAATTGAAGCAATTTCTCTTACTTTTGGCCAATTTCCACTTCTTTGACAACTCAAACTTTTTCAAGTCTGTGAAATGGAAACCCTGGGATGTGAAAGCAAAAAAAAAGACTCACCCGACAGATGAATTCTTCCTTCGTAAAGATGTCTAAGCAGCGGTGCAGAGGACTGAACTCGATCTGGGGTCCTAAGAGATACCGGCCGTCAAGCAGCGAGACGGGAGGTTCGGGAGAACTCGGTGGGGAATTCCGACGCGCGATTTCATTAGGGGCTCGATGGGTGCGAACTCGATGCACCGGCGTCGAAGCACTCGGGGGTAAGCCCACCGGCGGGGTTGATGGGGCAAAGGAGAATTCCGGGTCCTGGACGATAATGGGGTCCTTCTCGGGTCCGACGAGATCTTCATCACACTGAGGCTGAGCCTGGCTCAACATCATCGTGAGGATATATCACAGACAACGGCACTTGCGTTAACACTCAACTCGACACACCCATACAGGCAGCAAATTCCTTGTTCTTCGATTTCTCACTAGCGACTGTGGCAGGGTTTACCAGCCATGACTCCTCCCTCGGCAACGAACACCCAAGACCTGTGGGAACGAGATGGGGTGCGTGAGGACGCGGGAGAGGAATGGGAACATAGGGCCTGGGCATAGGCCTAGCCTAGAGCGGAACCGTGCGTTTCAAGGCAAAGGCGGCCTTGAAACGGGGCACTGGGCTCGACTGCCCTAGCCAGTTGCATCATCTTCCTTCTACATTTCTCACACACCCTCCCTTCCGTGCACTGCAGGCCAGGAAGTTCTACCCTCCCGAAGACACTCGGCGCCGAAAGCCTTGCGGAGAGTGTTCTTTCTCAATCTCTAAATGAATTCTTTTCCGCGGACCTTCTTGCGCCATGTCATGTTAGCCTTACACGGTCTTTGCTCCATCACAGTGAACTCTGATGGACTTGTTGCATTACTGCATTCACTTCGTATCCTTCAAGCAAATTCCGGTTGAACCGAATTCACGGTACTGTGCGTAAGCATTCGGAGTCCATAAACCATACCAGGAAATCGATCGTTCGTCATAGCGGATATTGCCTTGTAGTTTGGAGGAAGCTGTTATTGCGCGGATGCCGAGAGCAGCATGTAACCGAACGCCATCGATGACAGAAAAAGCAATTGCAATATAACCTTGTTTTTCTCTATTACTTACGGCTATATTATTGAAAACGCAGTAAAACAGGCTTTCGCAAAGTAAAAGGAAATCAACAATTGAACACATGTGCAGGGACGAACGGAGGGCCATGGACCATCGTGGATGGCACATGTCTTTCCTTGCCTACGACTTGCAAGCCGCCATTCATCTTCCAACACAAAGGGCGGGCAAGGAGGAGGAAGGAAAACCATGTATAATCTAGCAGGCCTTTGCTGTACGTGTTTGCGGCCTGGGCGCACGCGGAACTGGCACGTTTCAAGGGCACTCGGGATGACTTCGTTCAAGGTTCTCCTCTCACCTTGAACGGGCACCAAACGGGAAATAACGGTCCGAAGAAGGGCAAAGCTACATTTTTTTTCCTGCATTGCACCACCCCGACAGGAGAACCCGTGCAATATCTTATCGTAAGGTTTCCTCGTTAGATATTGGACTCAGTTGCAACATCAGTTGTCGGCACTGACGACATGACGAAACCCTCAGATCGTAACCCACCGATGACACATCCCAATGCCTAGCCTAAAAGCACCTATTTTCCACCATCGGGTATTGAATGTGAGAGTACGCGATATATTGGATATTTTAGGTTTCTTTTAAAAGGGCTTATCTTACATAAAATTCGCAGTTTACTGAGATTTGCAAGTGAATTCGAATAATTCATCTGAATTCACGGGAAAACACACTACGGAGATTCCGTCGCAATCGTGAAAACATCACCACCGTCTCATGAAACATTTGGATGAACGTCGTACTTCCAAGGAAGAGCTTCCATCGATCGCAGGCAGCGACATCTTTCAGATGGGTGGCCTAGTGTATCATCCGGTGAAGCGGATCCTCTGGAAGTAGCGCATTCTCCGTTATCCATAGCCCAGGGGGGGAACACGAATTCAATCCGAAAACGGTGTCTACTACATTTTACCCATTGGGTATGCAATTTCCATGGTGCATGGAAGAGTATATTTCCCTTGAAAATTGCCACATTAACCCCAGGGAGCCCAAGTTACAGGTGATACGAATTCATTCGCGAATCACTGTAATTCTCTTCTCTGCATGCTAATCTACCGAGAACGCAGTATCTCTTGTTCCACCACCTGTTCAGAGCGTGAGCTTATCTCCTTTGTGTAAGAAGCTCATAATTCCTATAGACGGAGTCTTGTTGCGCATCACTCCTTCAACTCCCTACAGCTTTTGGCTGATGCACAACTTAGGTTTCCTAGTAACCAGGGAGTGAGCCAGCATTGCACCAGGTTTCAGCGATATTATCAGACTGCGCACAACGCGACCGAATCATTCCGTACGTTTTACTTACGAGCGCACAAGGCCTGAAGCCGCGACCAAAATCACCGACTAGCGAACACTGAAAACACACGTAAATTCTCCATAGATGCACAGGGCTTGGTAGCTCTAGGCCTAGTTCACATCATCATGACGTTAGACACTCGGCAGGTACACAAGGGAAAATACGCACCATGATGGAGAGGAGATGGATGCAGAGGGCAATAAAAACTTGGGCCAGATCACGATTCCACGGATCTGGCTTGGTGAAGCCACTCGCAGAGGGACAGACGCAGGCCTACGCCGAAGCGAGGCGAGAACAAAGAGTGGAGCGGAACGGGAAGGCCACAAAGCCAGATTCTCTTTCCCTGCCTGGGCACCGCGAACCCTGCGCCTGCCTCCTGCCTACCCCGCTGAATGCCAGGCCACTGTGTCAAAAGGAGCCGTGCGAGCAGACGCTTCCTGTATTCCTACGCCTCTCGCATCTAGATCCCGCAAACTCAGCGTTCCTGCTGCTAAATTTATGCAGAAATACCTGCTTTGACTTTTGAACCACGTCCACGAATGATGTCGGTACGCATTGGGTTGAGTTTGCATGCGACCCAGCGATGGTATAAAATTCAAGGCCAAGAAAGGAATGCCTGATGAAGGAAATCCGTGTGGGACTTCCTGCGTCTGAGCCTCGGCGATCATCTCTCTCGAGAATACCTGACGTCATCATGCGTCTTTTTTCTCTCTCTCTCTCTCTCTCTCTCTCTTTCTCTATCGTCATATCCCAAGAACATGATTACTAACTGAAAATCCGGGCAAATTGAATTGAGTCTAAGCTCATCGGGGGAAATGACGAAAATGAAAACGTCATTTCCTCAAGAGACTGACCATCATATTGTTAATAATGTCCAGATAACATCTTTCGTACCAGAATGGTGGAATAAAATTTTATCCGCGGCCCTTACTGGAATAACGAAGCTCAAGAGACCGAAATCGTGCGTAGATCTTTACCCCATCTTCCAGATGCAACGTAGACCCGAGTTTTTGACATAAGTCAAGTTTTTAGTATGTCTAATGTGATAGCACCTGTTGTTTCGCTTAAAACGTTATTTCTTCACACAAAAGCTTCGATAACTTTATTTTTCTAGCAGGGTTTGCCGCAGCAAATAATTTTCCCAAAAATTTGAAAGGTGTGGGCGAAATTTGCCGTAGATAAGCTGAACAAGCTAAATGTGAATTTCGTTTGAGAATGTTGAAGGATGAAGACACGGCTAACGTTCGAGACAGAATGTTCAGCTCAGGGTGCAAAGGAGGCTCGAGGGGAGGAGGCATAAGTGATTTAGGCAGATAATTGAAATAATCCTTTCCGGATGAAATGATGATGAAATTGCGAGGAAGTCGCCGAGCAGATTATGTTTCAATGTCATTAAAGACTATCTCTTATTCAACAGATCCCGTCTGAACTCAGGCCGACTCACGCCCGATCCACAAAGGAAGGAGGAACAGGAACGAATTAACGAAGCCGAGCGCGGGAGAACCGACCTTAGCGACATCTAGCTCAGCCGCAGAATACTTGATGTCGCCGCCGGTCTTGAGAAGATGTCGCAAAGACTGCCGAAGAGCGAAGGCCACGTGGTTGCACCACAGCCTCAGTTTCAACATGTTGCATCTCCGTTGCGATAATCCATATCCATGATGAAATATTCCCTCGTTACCTACTCGATTGCTGTCATAACCTTGGGGTCCTTACTTGCTCTAACCGTAACATTGCATTCGATGGGTGTTCTGGCGTACCATGACGTCAGACCGCCTTATATACCAGTTAAAACAGGTCGAGACAAGAGGAAAGACCGAAGAGTCGTATTGCCGAGTATTGCAAGGAATTGCTTCATTTCATGTAATTCTTTCGAGCAATATTTCTTACAAATGAGCAATGTTTCTAACAAATGAAAGTTTCACTGGTATAACAGGCCGTATGAAGTCCTTGACAGCCCAATTGGCTTTTGGAAATTCATCTGAGGAATGCGCTTCTTCGACAGAATTTCTTCATTTCACTTTCATTGATATGTCACAGCACCCGGTGCGACTTGACTGATTCCCATTTTGGAGGGTGATGTCGGCAGATTTCTGGAAATTTCAGTCGTGTCGTACGAAAGCTTACATAAGCAGGACGTAGATATCACGCAATCGCTATCTGCTAATAATAGACTCAAGAGCGTCTGTCGGGACTCTATTGTGACGATGGAGTGACGAACACCCCCCGCATTGCGTCGAATCAATCTGATTTTTACGTCATTCCACGGACCGGAACTGTCGTCGGGGGTAGGGAAACACGCACGAGCGAGCCGGGTGAAGAGCCCCATTGTTTCGATGATCGGGCACTTCACCAAGCTCTTGCCATTTTTGGCTTTGGCGTGCGATAACAGCACCGAAACTGAAGGGTGGCGAGAAGCCAAGTCTCGACGAAAGTGGCACGAACTTCTCGATTCTGGAGCATCACTGTTTCCCTGCGAATCTGGAGCATCACTGTTCCCCGGCATGCGGAAGCCTAGACTGCGAAGGACTGCGGTGCAAAGGTCCCGCATTCTTCCATGCCTTCTCGTGCTGGCCTCCACCACCAACCCCAGTCTCGGACTCACCATCCGTTCATAGATCGCCTACATGATACGCGAAGTGGCGATGCCAAAGCCGTGCTACTTAGTTTGGCATGTCTGAAGTCGACCGGCGTCATTACGCCAATTTTCGTCGCCTGCGGAAACGACGGCGCTTCGAGCGTCTTCGGAAAGTCACCGTATTTCGCAAAGAGGCAGGCGCGACACACTTTACTTCGTAAGCATTTCACTCGATTAATTTATTTTCAAAACTAATTTGAATCAGGAAGATCTGACATAGCAACATGGTGTACGATCGTGACTCCAACCGTCACCGTTTTAAGGGACTTGATAGTGTCTTATCCGGAGAATAGCAGTAGGAAAATGATCACGTCCGATATATCTCACGTCCACGCAAGAACCTGCGAATCTGCATATTTCGCGAAGTTCTTCAACGTCCAACTCCAGGAGACGTGTAAAAGCGTCGAAGGCGATCAAATTTTTTTTCCAAGCCAGAGAATATACAGACCAACTTGAAGCAAAAAGTCATGCTCCGTTTCCGACAAACGTTAATGGAAGTATCGAGAAGTCCAAAACATTCAGACAGTCGCGTAGCAACAATTGTTTAAATCGTGAAAAGTGGGGTACTAAAGGACTCGCCTGGGTGTCGGTCATGTTCACCAATTTAGTTTTGGTGGATTTTAAGCACTGAGGTACTACATAAAGTACCGAAAAGTACAATGGATTCCGCTTAATTGGGCTCTCGGTTAATAGGGACAGCCTGTTTATAGGGAAATTTTGTCAGGAACGGAGTCGTTAAGGTAATGGAGGGTAAGTTCGCATTATCGAAGCAGTCGCTATATTAGGGTAAATTGACCCGGAATCAAGGTGTCCTAATAAAGCGGAATCCACTCTACCTATAATTGAAAATTCCAAACGGTCCTCTTTTTTAAAGTCTATCAACCGACTTCGAGAAGGAATGTGCCGAAGGACTTGTCTCGATTTGACGAGCGCCTTCTGAGGGTTTCGCAATCCGAGATACGTCGACATCGCGAAAACGTGTTTCGTCGGTCCGTAACGTCTCTATGGGAACAATGTACTCTGTGAATTTTTATATTTCGCGGAAGGAGCCGCGGAGCTCGCAAGAAGGCGAAGAAAAGCGGGGATCGCCCCTAGGGCGGGTCGCAGCGCTCCTCCTTCGCGACTGACGGACGGCTCCAGTTCGCTCGCGTTCGGACCAGCATAGGAGCGATCGTGAAAAAAGAGATGGGAGGGGGAGGGGGAGGGGAGTGTGGGACGGGGAGGGGAAGAAAAGACTGACATAGGGAACCGCCGAGGTGTGATACGAGCCCTCGGGGATGACTCGCGATGGGATAAAGCTCTTCGGGGATGCGAGATGGAGTCCATCGGCGTCTGATTTTTCGATTTCACGTTGCTGGCTGTCCTTGTGCCTCGGCGAGGCCGCGACGGGAATGGGGTTTCTAGAGCGGCAGACGATTCCTGGAAGTCATCGTGCTATTTTAGTCATTCGCCTTGAATATCCTGTAGATGTCGCGAGATATTTGCTCGAGCCGACTTCCAAAGAGCAGAGGAAAAAGAACTGAGAAGCACCAGCCAAGACAGAAATATATTCGCACTTTTCTCATACGATTTTGACGTTCGTGAGAAATCGCTTCTCTGAGTCTGTTCCGCAGTTGAAATATATTCGTGACGTGAAGGTTATCATGACGGAAGGGAAGCCAGTTATGCCGATTTCTTCCCCGAGTGACTCACAGTTTAGTCGTAAAATATGACATTACGGTCTTCCCAGCATGACCTTGCGTTTCGTATCGCCGGAAGGCGGACGATATTAAGAGGAGGGGCTCGGTTCGCTCACCCTGGAATATCGCACGTTTGTGGGGGGAATTGTGAAACTCAAGAGATGCGTCGATGGGGCACGACGTCCCCTTAAATTGCCTTCTTCGATCAATGGCGGTACTAATTTCCCCCGTTGGGAAAGTAATTTTTGCGAGCTTCATACCAGAGGTTTAGTGAGCCATGGGCGGGGCTGGGTAACGCCCAATAATTTTTTTTTTATGATTGGGGTCTTTTTTACCTTCAGAAAAATCCAAAATATTTCTTTTAAATATTTCTCTCTTTTCATTTACTTGACTTCGGTTACAGACATTAATACGTGGGGTGATCAAAAAGTTCTAAGCCTGAAGTACTTCCAGTTGCAATGGACCATTCTTACTCTTCTCATGAGAGGACAGATGTTTTTGATGGGGACTGGCAAAATTTCATCTTGTTTGTCGATTAAAGATAGCTTCTATTAACTTTTTTTTCAATGCGCTACCAAAGGGTCTGCTGAAGTGGTATTAAAATTGAGATGAGTGCTGTAATGAATTTTCTAACCTCTAAGAAGTCGATACTGATACTACACTGATACTTCCATATCAGTAGGGCTCTATTTTCTTAGCTGCTGAAAGATCTGCCGGGAGATCGACTCCTTTGAGGTTAGAAAATTCATCACAGCATTCAGCATGCATCTCGATTTTAATACCCCTTCAGCAGGTCTTTTGATAGCACATTGAAAAAAAAAAAATCATTATAATTGACAAGCAAGATTAAATTTTGCCAGTCACCATCAAAGACAATCTGTCTTCTCATGAGAAGAGTATAAAATGTATATTGCAACTGGAAGTGCCTCGGGCTTAGAACTTTTTTATCATCCCACGTACAGACGACGGCCGTAGCTACGGGCAAGGGCATGCATAGGGTAGAGAGTTCAATAGGTACAAGTTTGCCTCACCCTCTCGATGCCACTTAAGCACGTCTCAAAATAATACGAGGGGTGATCCAAAAGTTTCTGCCCTGAGATGTAAGAGAATGTGAAGAGCTATTGAAACAAATTTCAATTTCCAGCATTACCTCCCTGGACATCAATACTTGTCCTTTAGATGGAACAGGGCTTCAATTTTACTGGAAAAAAAAAGCATTTTCCTTAGTCAAATAAAAATGCTTGTACAGCTTCACTGTATTGACATCATTGTCAGTTTCACCTTCGTAGCTGCTTCACGGGAAGTTTTGCTTTTAATTTATATTATTTAATGAGCTGTCTAATGGGGATGAATACATTTATATTAGATTAATACTTTAATAATAATACATATGTAAAAAAAAAAACTGCTCCATCTTCAAATTCTACTTTGAAATGGAACAATTTTTGGCTGGAACATGTCTTAGCCTATATCCTAAGTATTAATAAAAACATAAATACGTCAAAGTCAATTGCAACCCTCGAACTTAAAAAATGAAGGAATATGGGAACCAAATTTCAGCCTTCTCCGATCATTCCTACTACCCCAGAGTAGAAACTTTTGGATCGTCCCTCGTATTACCGTAACTAACTCCTGGTACAAGATGTAAAAAAGGCGATGAAAGCAGGGACTAAATGGGGTTCGATATCATAGTGGTAGCCCTTATTGGCAACGAGGACATCTGGGTTTGATTCTTAGCGTTCCGTCTTTCCTCGTTCATGCATTCCTACTTCCACCTTTTTTAACATTACGCATAATACCTCGAACTCCGATAAGCGGATGGGGCTATCTGGATTACACTGCAGTCAGCTTCACACGATGTGAATATATCAGCTTGGTCGGGGTGTCAAGGGCGAGCGACGATTATGTATGCACTGTAAGTTCTCCTCTTGAGCCTGGCTGTCATCTACACTTCAGAACAATGGGCATCTTTGTGGTGACCGAAATTCCAATGACTCCTTTTCACAAGAAAGACCCTCGAACATTGGACAGTCATTGACTCGGCTTCTCCGATTCTCTTGCGCGACTTCGCATTGAACTCATTGACATTGACCAGCTCAATGCCTTTTCCAATTTGACCAGCAAGAGGGACATGGCACCGAAGTAGCTGACCGTGAATATGCCCTTGAACGCTCTAAGTATGAGAAGTGTCTTATCGCCTTCTCCACTGCATTTATGGCTTGATTTCCGTTGCATTCATATGCATGATCATGGGCGTGTACTCCTCCTTCCATCGATAGCATATAACACTTTTGATTTTTCATACAACAGGGTGATATTTATAAAGACTTTACTTGAAAGCAAGGCCTGCAGGAAGTCTCAGCTTGTCTAAACATCACACCCATAACATAACAACATCATAACCAGTGTTGGAAAGTAACTGAGTAAAGTGCAACTTTTTTCAATACATAAAGAAACCCTGTACAAGTTATAGACATAAAAACAGTACTTGCAGCGTTCTTATTAATTTTTTTTTTATACTAGCAAATTACTTGAAATCAAAAGTGTATATTGCACTTAGCCATGATGGGAAATCAAGTATCCCTCTCTTCTTTTAAAATCTTGCAAACTCCACAGGCCTTCATGATGGCAAACAGCAATAGCTTGTAAGGCAATAATGCTCCCAAACAATTCTCAAAGGGTGTAAAAGTAACTGTAATATTTCCAATTACTTTCCTTGAGAAGTAACATTTGCTAGTGACAAATAACAATTTGAAAGTGACTTCCCCAACACTGATCATAACAAAGATGCAACAGCATCAACCACAAGTAATTCCATTCTCCAATAACTTATTCATCATAAGTTCATAACAACCTGCAGAGAAATGAGTTTGCTGCAGTCATCAATGACAAAATATGGTAAAACAAAGAGAATAGGAAATCCTTCACTCCATAATGCAAGTTATGGAAGCAAGCTCTGCAACACTCAACACTATCCTCTCAACATACACAACAGACAACATGATCATTACAGAGCAATGATCAAAGATTCAACTTCTCACTTCGTCACATTCCGAGTTTCTGTCATCCTTCTCATCCTGTAAAAGACATATGCAGATAAAAGCACAAGAAGTAGAACTATCTGACTCTTTTGTCTTTTGTACTATGGGAGCTGTTCCTGCTGAAAAAGCTACACAAACTCTCAACTTCTACCCTAAGTCATGTAGTCCTTGAGCCCTTTTGAGAAAACACCCATGAAAAAAAACCAAAGGCAAAAAAGAGTGAAGTGCTTGAGAAATATGAAATGCTTCTGGTCCAGGTATCAAGACAAATGGGGATAAGGAAAATGCTGGGGGAGACAGCACCACCAAAAACTAATTGGGAAGACAATTGTGCTCTTGCCATATAAGCACATGAATAAGTTATATCACTGCCTGGGATTTCATCACATATCGTCAATGGGTTGAGAATGGTTTGATTATCATGGCCAGAATATGAATACAAACCCATTCATCACTTAAGGTAGAAAATCCTGAAGCAACCATATAAGATTGGTGTCAGCCCAGCTGGACACTACAAGACAACAACTTTGGAATGGAACCTTAGCAGAGTGAGAAAGACTCTCTGCAATGCAACAACAAAGCAAATCCAACAGAACAGCAGCAATCATGTCAACGGCTCTCCTCATCCAAATACACTGGGAATCTGGAACCCAAGTGGAAGGAAGAGCAGGAATGCTCCGCTGAAACAATAGAGAAATTAATGTAAGATAATGAGAAGTAGAGGACAAAAGATTCAAAGTAAAGAATCTTACGTAATGGTGAGTCCATTTACAAGCCATGACCGCCAAGAGCTTTCCTGTTCACTCATTCGTTGCTCAATCTTGACACAGGTGTTCTTGCGATCATTTGACCGACCTGAGACAAGGTCACAGAGAAGTCGCTTTTTGCACTCTTCATCACACTTAGGGCGGAGTGGTGAAGCCTTCCAGTAGTACCTGAATTATAAAATATCCAGCAAAATTTCAAGAACTGGAATGGAATAGCCCTGAATTAAACTGCTCTCAAAATCCTTACTTGTAGTACTGCTGGAAGAGGTTGTCATTGAAGCTAAGTTTATGAACAAGATAATCCCATTCTTGGGGGGAGAGAGAGCGCATTCCATAAGATGATTTAGCTGAGTAGAGGAGCCTCCACCGTGGATGGTTGTAATGGTTGGCTTCCTTCAGGTCCAGGTACCAGTTCTCATGATCCATCACAGCCTGTGCATAAAAAATTCGTATTAGGAAAAAATGAGTAAGTCTGAGAGACATGATGTAGACAGGATCTCACATAGGAAGAGCCTTTGTAGTCACCCTCGATGGTGTATACTCGATAGCCAGGATTCAAGTTGTAATATGGAGTGACACTAGGGCCAATATACGCCACACTCACAGCTCTAGTTGGCTGTGCTTCATCATAGAACAACTGAAACTCATCAAAATGAGTGTGGCCAAAGAACTGAGCCACAACAGTGTTCTCATATCTGGAAAATACCCAAATGAGACATCATAGATTGGACTTTCTGTGTGAAGATTATATATAAGCATATAGCTAAGACAACACAAATGAATGTAAAAAGATCAAGATATATCAGATATTAATATTAGGATATAGAGTCAACATCTACAAACCTGTTGATGATGCGGTAATAATTCTGGGACCAAGTCTTCAAGCAATCTGAATGGCCAGGTGGAATATGGCCAAGAATATGAACTTTTTCTCCATTCAGTTCTGCAGCCTGCAATTCATAGACAAGCCACTGGAGCTCTTGGGCTGGGTCAGTCGTATTCAGGAGCAGCCACCTAGAGTTAACAGGATTTTCCATTTCAGCTTGTATGAGTAGCATAGTCAACTGCACAAATGAAGACATACAGGATGAGAAGTTACTGGAGATTCATAAAATTTGGCATAACCAAGACTATCAACATTCCCCTCTGAATTTTCACATATATGGGAGGTCTTCAAAACTGAAGTGAATGCTCTACTTGGGGACTAACTAATTTAGTTTTCAGTGGAAGAATAACTGCTAGTAAGACACATCATGCTGATTATTTTCAATGCATAAACATAAGCACTATAATGAAGAGGAATGCTGGATCATTCTGGTGAAAAGCTATATTTTTGGGATAAATTTGGCCACAAGCCTTGATGTTACTGTCAGATGGAAGAGTAGGTTTGACAGCTTTGAATAACGTATTTGTAGTACTGGAGTCAGTTATGATTCCACATAACTAAAAGGTTACACATTAGTTACGTTAGGCACATTAGTTTCTCCTGTATATCATGAGTATGAGTAGACCCACTCAAACTACAGTGAAGTGAAATTTTTTTGGCCAATTTTAAATATGCAAATTTCACGAGGGACAAAGAATTATGGAACTGAATCTTTTGTCTTTTTTTTTTTTTACACTCAAAGGTCTATATATGGGGAATGGTCCAGATGGCAACATTTATCATTTAAAAAATGTCTGATATATGAAATTTAAGATTTTACTTAATTAAATGGGTGCAAGCATTTTTTTGCTACTCTGTATTCCAGAGAATGCCTAAGAAAGACTATGAAGTTCATGAAACATAAAAGTTGACAGCAGAAATATGTTTCATTATCCATTTCATTTCATGCAAACATTCTTGAAATGACAGGTTTAACATTTGCCTTTTGCAGATATAGCAGAGTGAGAACCTATGGAGCATATGGAGAGGACCAGTCCAGTCTTACCAGTTCTTATTGTGACAGTAGTTCATGTTGAGAGATATGACTTTGAGTCCCTTTCTGAGTGGAACAGCATAATAGGCACCATATCGAACTGTCTGTGAGGCAGAATCAGGCAACCATCTCCTCCATTGTCGATCAAGTTCATCATACAACCACTGAATTGAGAAGTGATTCTTCACATTTGGAGGGGGAAAGCTATCAAGATGTAACACAAAATTCCATCAGTCAGTTTATTCCAGTCCACTTAGAACCAGCTTAAAGGTAAAAAAATAAAAATAAAACCATTCTTCAATTCAATAAAATAAAGGTAAATACCTGTTGACAGGTGCGCTTTCATGATTGCCCAAAGCAGGTAAAATGGGAGTGTGTGGGAAAAAGTCCAAAAGCTGCTTCACAGTTAGCTGAATGACATGAAGTTGTTCTTCATGAGTCTGATTCCAAACATCATGAGGTGGAATATCCCCTGTCCAGTAAATATAATCTATATCCTGTAATAAGAAATTATGGATTAAAATTTCATTCCATGAATTTAAAAAATCAGTACCTATAAACTGTCATTGTCACACTTTATAATAAATGACCATAAAGAGTAGTCTGAGACCAGGAAGTCACCAAAAATAAAAGCAGAGCAAGCACATTCAATTGGAAATCATGTGAATTTCAAGATTCCATCAATGCAATGTTATAGATCAGTTTTGTGCCTATCCCGGATTCTTGGTCCTAAATATATCCTAAATGTAAATATGTCCTAAATATAAATATATAATAGATATCAACCAACCAGATATACATGTACATTGATTAGGTTATGCTCAGAGAAACTCAGTAAATTTACAAAATTCCTGATGCCCATGAGTACCAGTAAAAAAGCAAAAAATGCATAATATAACAAATGGGAAAATGGTGTTTCCAACTGCTGCTTACTTTGAAACCCAATAGAACAGGGTATGCAGCAAGTAGATAGGTGTTATGAATGTTAATATATAGAAGCATCATGAAAAAATATCTCAAATGTCTTGTTGCACTGATGGCATGATTGACAGCATTCAGTCTGGGAACTTTATGATCAAATGTCTTCACCAATGAAATGTTTGGTGTGGGAACAGAACAGTCATCTTTGGTATTTCCCCTTACCAGGTAGGGGAAAATTAAAAGCATGTCAGCTGAACACAGAATGTGAGTCCTAGCACCAGACCACCCCAACCATTCCACATTTCAGACTCACTTCCTGTCTTTTTCATATTCCTTGGAAGTCAAAATGGGTCATAGAGTTTCTTCCTACTCCCTTCTCCCTTCCCTTTCCTTTCCTTCCCTTTCCCAGTCCCCTTCCTTGCAGATTTAGTTCCATGACTTTTATTTGTGACTCACTGGTTCCCTTGGGACTTTGATGCTACCAATTGAAGATGCAGAACATAAAAAGTTAATAAAACCCAAATCCTGACTACTGCCCCTGATAATGGCAAAGATATTAGGAGAGTTTGGAACTAAAAACTGACTCCTCTGTGAAAAAAGAACCAGTAAGGACTCAGTATACCAGTTAACAAGATCCCTGCCATGGCAGTCCTCAAAAAGCAGTCTCATATCCATCATGTGACAATCGTGAAAAAAAAGTCATAAATTATGATCTTCCATATTCATCAATTTTTGGCTTAGGATGAGGGTGATTATATATACAATTGAAAAAATGTTTAAAACCCAAGATGGTAATATTATACTTTAACTGATCCCAGCATACGTGGATCAAAGAAATCTTCATTTAGTCTAGCTTACTTTGGTCTGACACAATCATTTTTGATGTAGGAGGCAAAGCTTGAAGATCAGTTGAGAAGTGATATTGACAAAATCAACACTACTCACCGGATGAGTGTATGCAATGTGCTGATACATGTTCTCCATAGTTTGGAGTGGCGTGTCACATTTGCGATAGTCACCCCAAGGTCCAGCTGCAGCCTTAGGGTTCTCTGGAGGTCCATCAGTGATTCGGCAGCAAAGGGGCTCTCCACAATCAGCATTTGCTCCAGGAGCATAATGTGGATCAAAGTGGTTGTCTGACAGATGCAAAACCTTCAGCACAGGAGGGCTGCTCTGCTAAGTAAAATATTCAATTCATTAGAACTTCTGTTTCACCTTTTCCTTAAATTCCACATTAAATAATGATTGGTATGCTTTGGCAAGCCTCCTTTAGTCAAATAAGATTTGAGGCTCCTGGCACAACCTGCACATTTGTGCCAGTGTCAACACAAAGAAAATTTAATGTTCAATGAAATAGGCCTACGACTGTTGTATAGTTCACATAATTTTCCTAACTCATAGAAGTGGTATACTTTATTGAAATTGCTTCCAAAAATATGTGTTCCAGGAAATAAAATTCATGAAACCTTGAAATATAAATACACTCACAAAAGAGCATGCAGAGTGGATAACTCTCCAGTGGAGAGTTTCCACCCTTCACACCAATGATGTCAACTCATAAGCATAGCACGGATGGAAAAAGTGGGGGAGGGGGTGCACAAGAATCCTAAGACACTGATCTCATACATTTCATGTGTCATTTCCATCTTATTTTTGCTTCTATTCTTGAAAAGTGGGGTGACATGCGCTCCCCTCTGCCCCCCCCACCCCCGATGCTATGTTGTTGAGTCAGCCCTGCAGATCTTTTCCAAGCATAACCTTCTGGTCTCATCCTCTTTAGTCTTGGTATCCTGTATTTTACCTGGGTCATCCATAACAATGCATACAGGAGGTTCATTTCAGCTTCATCCAGCTGGTTGTAAGTTGAATTTCTCCCTCACATAAGTCTACTACTTCTAAATAGTGCCTCATACAAGAAATATTGCAATGACTCACAAATTCATCTCCATTAGGAATCAACCATCCTTCTCTACTTACCTCTTCTTGTTGTCTTTGAGTAACAGCAGCATTAACCAAATCTTGAAACCCTAGTTTCAAGGCAAGGTTTCCAATGCAATGCTGTTAGCTTCACTTCAGACAACACACATTACAGAAATGTTGATGATGTCCCAATTGAGTATTGAAACCAGAATTGTTCATTCACCCTACAGCCTTTCAGGCATTTTTTTGTCAACACCACCACCATTTGGTGGATAGGGACCCATGAATTTCATTGCTTTAAATTGCTCATAATGTAATCCTCTGACAAGGATGCCACCACTACATAAATGAGTCCAAAACTGAATGAAAGAAATCTAATTTTTTCTATTTTAGCTTCCTCTCCAGGTGAATTTTTACCTTTCATATCATTTCATTGAATTTTTCCTTCCAATTTTCCTCTATTCCAAAGTCCATTCAAACTTGTTACATGATTCCTTTGCATATAGAGAATTGTAGCATTCCACTGGTGAGACCATAGTTTCTCTTAACCAAGAAAAGCCAAAAGAAACATACTGAACCACTTTTTGAGACTCAACTAGAAAAACAGCTGGTGTATATATATCTTTTGGAGTCCTCAATATGAATTTCTTGGAGAAAGCAGAGCCTTACTGGGTAGGTATATAGCAATGTTTCCCAACCATTGTGCCACAGCACACTGATGTGGCTGTAGCTAAGCTCAGGTGTGCCAGTCGATTTTGTGGCCTGAGAGGGGAAAAATGCAAGAAACTTTTTTTTCCCCCCATATTGCAACAACTATGGAACCAAGACATTGTGATAGCACCAGCAGCCAACCCCATCCCCCTACACCTCCAAGCAGCACCCCAGGATATTATGTCGGGATTCAAGTTGTGCTGCTGGTATAAAAAGGAAATGGAAGCATGCTGTGGGCAAAAAAAAATTGGAAACAATTAGTACACGAGTCCCACAGACCCACCATTCAATGAAGTAGAAGCAAATATTAAATGGGCATGGCAATCACCACACAACCAAATGGTGAAGATTGGACCTGGCCATGCACAAGTGCCTATGCAAGTCCCTGTGCATGGCTAACTATAACCTCTCATAAGCCTGGACAGAATTATATCCCTTCTCAAGCCTACATGTGTGACATTGATAAAACCTGAAGCTCTTTACTTGATAAGGGTCACATTTCAGTAACAAAATTATATTTGCAAGGTGAACCAACCATTGTTGTTGTAAGAGGGTCAGCAGGTGGCTTTGGTATGGGAGGAAATGTGATATTCCAGTCATGCCATGGAATGTATGGAACCTCACACCCATCTCCAACAATAATACCACACACCTCTTCTGGCTCCAAAATCAATCGCTCCATTATGTATATGACCTCATCCTGTGAGAAAAAAAAAGACAAGATTCAGAACTTCGATGAGAGTCTGAAACCACAATGAAAACTTTGCCCCATTCCATTCTTCACTACAAGTAGGCATAATGCTTACAGCAAAGAGGCTGATGATTCCCACGCAGACGCGTTTTGTTTCAATCTTCAGACTAAGGCACAACTTAATGGCTGCATGAGCTATTTCCAAGTTAGTCTTCCCTGTCTTGATATAGTGTTGGAGAAGGCCAACTCCTGCCTTGCAGGCTGTGCAGGAGACACTGCTGAGCAGGCTATGTTCTATTTCAAAGAATACCTGCTTGAAGTCCATATACTTGAGAGCTCCACTGAGGAACTTTGGCATCTGGGTGACAGATGCCAAGTTTAAGTTCTTCCCTAGAAATGCATAGGAAATGAAATCAGATTATAGCCCTAAAGTCTCTTTGAAATGGAATGAAAAAACTACATGAACAGAAATGACAACATAACCTACCTTGTCTCTTTTGCTCATTAAGCTCCGAGACCAAATTATCGATCTCATTTTGAAGGACTGCATAGTTGATCTTTGATGGATCAAAAATGCCATCTTGATCAAGCGGAGGAACCTCTGGATTTGGATCAAGAGAGAATCCAAATTGATGGAAGTCTTGTTCAGGCCCAAAATTGGATGCCTTCAGTAAGGGGTCTTCAGAGTCCCTCACCTTGTCACCATGTTTCAAGGGTGTACCTGGAAGGATAAAAATGTTTTTATCAGTGAAGGGAAGTGTTATCATATGAGATAATGCCATTTAATACAGAAGAACTCAGTGAGGCAGGGCCTTACCCTGGCATTGACATAATTTTACGATGATGCAGGAAATTTTTATTTTTTATTTTATACTGGTAATTACAAAATGTTAGAATATCCTTGCCAGGGTAAGGGTAACTAGAGTTGCTACCCATTAAGTCTTGACCTATCATTCAGAATTTTTGGGAAATATCAAGTATCCAGCAATATCTTCCTACTGTAAACCCAATGTCAAGTATTTCTGGCCTGACCTTGATAGGGAAATATATTTTCTTTGGATCAGGCCCAATATAATTCCATTGAGAGAACATCAGTTTGCAAGCCTCCATAATTCTCAGCAAAAGTGTATGTTTTGAGTGTGCTACCAAGTTATGTTTTCGGTGACTTGTGAGCTATTGGTACAGAAGCATGGGGTCCATTTTTCTTGAACCTTCTAGATATCCTTTGGTGACTAGAGTGGAACTTCCATGGAACCAAGTAGAAGTGAATTTCAAGAGTATCTAGGCGAGTATTCTATTGTACATCTTGCACACACCCCCAGAGCCCCATGCATACACATCCAAGCCTACTAGTGTGACCATAGAGGGAGGTTATGTGCTGTCAAGTACTCCAATCATGGAAAAGTGGAAACTCAAACAATGACCCAGAAATTAACATAGAAATGAGTCTAAGTCTTGGTGCATTTTGGGGATACACTGTTCTTAAATTGAATTTTTACCCCCTGTGGATAGAGGAGAACAGGAAAAACACAACTTCCATGAGATCAATTTGATATGCTTGCTCCAGGATTGATTGTGATAACTTCACCTTTGCAAAAGATAAAAAATTTATTAAAATTTAAAGCTCTGAGGGCAGAATATTATAATTCATTATATAATATTGCTCCATCTTTGAACATCATCACACTCATCAATATTCAACCATTGGAGTATCAATAGCTACAGTAGAGCTCATAAACTCACCACTGAAAAATACAGCACATTTCACATGACATGACAAACAATTATTGCAGCATATATATACAGGGTGGGCCAAAAAAAAAACAAAGCCATCATTTTTGGTGAGTCATAAGCCTCTTTGTAGGCTGCCAATTTTATGAAAGTTGGTAGGCTTATAGGGTGATACAAGTGGAGTTGGTATACCAACTTTCAGACATCTGGCTTTAAAATGATAGGAGTTGTAATTATTTTCTGATGACCAACGAAAAAATGTGCTGTTGAAAATATCAATATAACCTTGAGGCCAGGATGAAAGGGAGGTCCAAACTCATTTACCTCCTATCCCTACATGATGCTACAAAGGAAGATTGGGAAGCACTGCCTCAAAGGTGTATTGACTGAGCCATTGATCTGTGGTGTCCCAGACTAGAGGCTTGTGTTCAACAAAATGGAAGGCACATTGTGCACCTTTTCAGTTGAAATGCAGGTCCCTAAATCAAATTGTGTACTTTCACGTTTGACATTTGTGCATCTGTTTTTGTTCTGTTTGTTCGCTTGATTGTTTTTGTCAATTGTGAGAATTTTTAAGTTGAAAGAAGAAATGAACACTTACTTTTTTGGCGATGAAAAGTAAATTAAATACCAATCTCACAGTTTTTGGAATTTTATTTGGAACTTGGCATAAAAACCCTAATTGAGTCACCCTATGTGTATTCCAAAATTAATCAAAATTGGTCACATACAATCATATTGACAACTTACCAAAAATGATAGCTTTGTTTTTTTGGCCCACCCTGTACATATGATGAATCAGATGTATTGACTGCAACTATTGAAAATGCTGTTTCATCCCTCTCACACCATCCCTGCTAGGCAATAATCATGCAGTTATTCTATCAATTCTGCTTCAGGTTCAGGAAGTTCCATATTAAAAAAGGACCCTACAAGATAAGGCATTCACAAGAGCAAAGCCAGCAGAAACACAACTGCTGATCTCATTCAGCAAGTCAGCACATAGAATGACTCATATGTTCCATATGCATTGAATACCTTTTTATGCCCTAGTTCTCAGATGTTTTCCTATGAAGACTCACAAAAGAATGCATACCATCATACTTATCCTGCTGCATCATGCCAGATCATAATCAGCCATGGTCAGAAACCATGAATTTAAACTGGGAAGTCAAGCAGGACTCCATAGATGACTCATTTAACTGTGAAGGACACTATTAAATGTTAAGTACACATTTGCTACAATGTCAATGCCTGCGATTAATGGAGCTGCTCTCATGGGAGGATGTGAATTCAATCTGAGTAGAGTCCTGTATAAGCTAAGTTTTAACTCACCATCACAATCTCCAAGGAGAATCAACAAAATGATGACTGGAACAAGTGGGGATTTCTTCCAACATAATGCACACACATTCATACTCGAGAGAAGCCCCTGAGGCCCATCACAGATCATGAATACTGTTCCATGAAGAACGCCTGCTCCCACAGCTCACCCGTGTAATGTTTGGAATGGCACTGTGGTCAATACCTAATTCGAGGACTAAATAGAGTAAAATATAATGAACATAAGCTAGGCCTATATCAAACAACTACGCGAGGCTTGTCAACGGCAGCGATTGAATAGGTCTAGGCTATCCTTGACTCCTAACATGGGATAGGCCTATCTGACGATGCGCCACGATGATTCCAATACTGCGATCCACACTTCACTTCCGGTCAGGTGACGCGAAGCTGATTGGCCTACCCCACGACTTTGCGACGATGGGAAGGAGTAGGTTTGGTCCACTGAGTCTCTCCTTCAACAGGTTATTGACGCGGGATGGAGGCACTAGACGTTTTTTCTTGCACTGAGAACAATGGACAGCCATAGGGCACCGTTTTTCCCCGCCCCATATCAGAACACATCTCCATGTGACCGTTAGGAAGGAGCGGAACTACCTGTTGTTATATTTGGTGACGATGGATAATGGGACTCCCTACCCCACTACACGTTGGAGACCTATATTCTCCCAAGAATCCTGAGCCTAGGAGGAGAGGCCCGCCGTATGAAGCAGCGTAGTCCACTTCTCTCTCTCTTCACTTCCCGCTTGACCTCCTTCCCGTCGACGTACGCATGCATGCTAACTGACCCTCCACTTCTTTTCTTTCCCTGCGGCTGTGGAAGACTATCCTATCATTTCTGATTTGGAACCGTAATTCCGCTGGTCGATGTCTCGAGGCTTGGAGGGAGCTCGACGACCTTGATAGAAAACCACTTCGAGGATCGAGATATCATCGCTCGATGATACATCAGACACGAACGGCATACATCCACGAACTTCGAAACTACCCAACAGACGCACCGTGCGTATGTCATGTTTCAAGGAAAGAAGGCTCCTCGCCGACGGTTCCGGTTCCAATCAAGAAATCAGAAATGGGGCTTGGAAAGGCGGGCGACAGCCTTGATGTAGGTCGCCCTCCGAGGTCGTTTTGCATGCAAACAGTATGACCCGTTCCCCCCGGAGACTCCAGGGCGTAGTCTCTCCACGAGAGGCGGAGCAAAAGCATAAGGATTCTCTTGCTGGCATCAGCCTGGAGACGATCGCGTCTCCGAATCGCCTGATAAGAAAAGAGAAATACAATCCCAAGACAGTTGCCAGGCCAGCCGGTGGGCCGTTGGTGGAATTTTAGATCGTACGCGATACTTGGAAAAAGCGATCTGGGTTTCTTCCGGGGGCTTGGTGCAGCCGGCTCCTACATCCAAAAATTTTCCTTTCTAATGTCGTCATGAAATTTCAGGCTGGATTGACTGAATCGTGATGCTGTTCATGCTTTCGATGTCCAGCCCTGAAATTGATGGATATACAGAGTTTGGCAAGAAAAAAAAATACCGAAGCCTTTTTTTCCGTACCTGAGAAAAAGAAAACTTGATGCTGTTGCACGAAAGATTTTAGCACAACAAACTCGTTTTGACCAAATTCACCCGAGCGCTCCAAAGTCAAGGTCAAATGGTTATTATTGACCGCAGATAGTTTTTCAAATTTGTTGAAAAAAAAAAACACGATAAGAGCAAGGATATCTTGAAATCGAAATAATCTCAGACCACTCACAAAAAATGTACTATTGTGGAACAGATACAATTCATCTTCATGAATAATTAAATGACTAGATTCTCATAAAAAGGGACAAAGATTCTTTCGATCTACGTATTTCGCTGCTGGAAATAGACTACAGTCTTTTCCATATTTTTCCCCCTGTCGTTCCCGTACTCTGGACCACTGCTCATCGAGAAGAAACTTCAGGGAAAGGAACTCCTCTCTCTCCATCTCCGTTACAGGATAAAAGAAGAAACCAGACGTGGAGGAAGTTTCCTAATTCACGAGCGTTAAAGGAGTTCTAGTGCTGCGCGCTATCGCCTTTCTGAGCTCAGAATCGTAACCATCTAAGACAGGGGTGCACAAAGTACGGCCCGCTATGACTGGTTACGATATAAGTGCTACTATGGCTCCTGTCCTGTTGGCGACAGCTATGGTCAGCCAGCTGCGGCCCGCGGAAGGTGAGTAAATATTGGAAATGGCCCTCACAGCCTCACAGAGTTGTGCACCCCTGATTGGACTTATGTACCGAATATGGAAACTCTTGTTTCAAATTTTTTTTCCCTCGAGCTCTTCTGGTTCGGCCACTGCTTCATCGTTTAATTGAAGCGGGTAAAACGCAAAAAAAAAGTATGGGGCGTGTTGCAGCTCTACAACATTTGGTGAATGCAAAAATAAAGTTTCAAAGGGGCTTGATGAGATCGCTTCAGGTCATTGCAGATCTGTAACTTTGGTACAAGTTGGGATGAGAGAGTCAGATAAGTTCCCCCATTCGCGTGTGCGACATCACGAACTCAGATTCTGAGCTCAGAGAGTCCGTCAACTCCCCACCTTACCGATATACCTGATTTTTGTAGTGTTTGACGCGTTTCCGGTTGGAAGTCCCTTGATTCTCACGCACACATATAAAACCATAAACTGTGGGACATCCAGTCAACCTTAGAGGAGCCATACCACCAAAGGAGGGGAATTCTCTGCAATCTTCTGCATCATGCATGACGTGACTGTCCCACCACACGTCAGAAGCCTAAGCTAAGATTTTGAGCTCCGAAAGACGGACGACATTTACCATTACATTCTCAGCTAAGAAAGACTAGTGGTATTTGGCACGAGGTTCTCAGATGTATTAATGACAGCCGCATGCGCAGTGAGGTAGGTTTCCAACATGACGTCAGGAAACAAGGTGGCGGCATGCATAGGTCATGCTACTCGTGAGAAGCACGAGGTTCTGTGCTAATTGGACCTTAGTAGTAATGAATCCCCTTTTCTCGTGTCTCTGGATTCAGGAGAATCTCGATCATGCCTCACGTTCATAAGGATATGAGCCATCCTCTGATGAAGACGTCTTATGATCATGAATGTTTCCCCCCTCGGAAGTTTGAAGTCAGGGAGTTTTTCTGCGGCTGGGGCGCCGCCTTCATCAATATCACCGTCACCTTTCCCTTGAATAAAGTCATGTTCCGACAGGTGAGTTTCTCCTGAGCTATTGTTTGATCTACTTTTGTCGAGCCTTGCTTGAGCCCTTGGCCTATCACAAACTTCACATTTGGCCTTTCCTTTTATTTCAACCCAGGAGAATGGCAGCCTAATTAATTCTCAAGTTTAATCACATGGGTGACTGGTAGCGTCTTGCGTAACCGCAAGACGTATCCATGATATGATTTCTGTCCAACACCATAGGCCTGGGCTTGAATAGATGGAACAGATATGACTTAAGTATGGTTTGTGTGGATTTAGACTCACTTCCCATCAGATTTGGACTCTTTCTTCTCTGTTGCTTACCACTAGGCTTACCCATCCCTCTAACATCAGGCTTCTAGTTTTGTTGATGTCACCCTTCATTAAAATTCCTTCCTCATCATGTCTTTCTTGTTATCTTTGTTTCTGGCCCCTTCCCATGACTTGCTTCTGGGTCCCAGCTGTGAAAAAATGGCAAACTCATTCAAAACCCCTGATCTCTAGCTAGGTCTAGATAGTGCCTTGGCCTTGGAGAATTTGAGGGCTATCATGGGCCAGTTGATTGAGAGATAACAAGATGTACAGAGATCTAACATAATAGGTGGGGAGTGGTGACATTACAAATTATATTTTGTAGACTCAGGCTGAGCCCTGAGTCAAGTGCCATTCCTTGGCCTAAGGGGTGCTAGCATAGCCTTACACCATGTTAATTACCCATGTCAGTGACTGCTCCCATGAGTTGATTAGTGTATGCCTGGATTTTTGTCATGTCAGGTCTACACATTGACATGAGCTGTCCTAGACCTCATGGCAAGCTCAAAAGAGAAGAGAAAGATCTGAGAAGGCTTGTATGAAATTACATCCCATCAAACCAGATAGGCTCTTTGTGCATGGAGCTACCAGGGAGAAATAGAAGTTAGGGTCTCTTTACACTTTGATTAGAGGTTTTAGTATGCCAAAGAATTTACAACTTAAGTCTGGGCCTACCAACTAATTCCTGGTCCTCTTTCTTTTCCATGAAAAAGGGGAGGGCAGAAAGAAGATCAAATAGAACTGCAAGACAGAGCAGTATGCCTTTGTATATAGCAACCCTTTCTGATACCCTGGTGCTCAATAGGTTTCTACTTACTTTGAGGTATCCAAGTGCCTTTTGATTTATGGTCAGAACTATCAGTCTCTAATGTCTGATCCTTGATGAATAGACGGTACTCTTTCTTAAAGGTAGCCTATGGGCTTAAGGGTTGATCATGTACACCATATTATCAAAAGTTATGGAACACCTTACTTTTTAATAGGGAGTGTTGCTATGTGTTGCTGGGTTCCTATTTAAATAGAGTATCAGCTCACCTTGACTAATCACAGCATGGACTTAGTAACACTGACCATCTATCAGTGGACACACCTGCTGAAATAACCCCCCATTCCTTCTGCTAAGCAGCTCCAAGTCCAATGAGATTGCTGGGTCTGCCTTTTCTTTCCCTCAGGCACTGTTCCAAAATATCCCAGAGCAGTTCAGTTGAATTGAGGTCAGGCTCTGTGTTGACCAAGGTAATTTCTGGACATTTGCCTCAAACCATTTCTGTGTAGTGCATGCATTATCATGCTAAAAGAGGTACAGTCCTCACTTATAGAACTGCATAAAAAACAGGCACTGCAGCATTTTCCAGAATATCACAATACAACATGACATTCACAGGACTTTGCATCAGTACCAGGGAACTGCATTCAAACTAGCTAAAACAGGCTCAAACTATAAGACAAACCTTATTCCTCTCAAAGTAGGAATGATACAGTTGTATTTGAAGTGTTCACCAGGCTGCCACCAAACATGGACCTATCAATTCCAAAGCAAACAATGTGTAGCATGATTCTTTGCTTCATGTGATTAATTTTCATTATTCTAGCCCCCATTTTCAATGCCCTAGGTGTATTGAGAGTGGTTACCTTGTATTCATGGTTGCAATTTGCAACTTCTGAATTACAGCTCCTCCTTGACCAAAAACATGGAGTTTCTTGTGCTCCTTGGATGTGCTGACTTATAATTTTGACCACTCATGAAATTCTTGGGTGATGGATTTGGTGCCTGACCTCAGGATTTCCTCTCCTAGCACATTGCTAAGTTTGGTTGCACATTCATTTAAATACCTAGCACATAACTCAACAGTGGATTTGGATGTGCATTGGTGGACTGTCACAGACACTCATACCACCAATCCTGCATCAGTAATCATACCTCTTTGAAGATCAGTGAATTCTGTTCCTTGTAACATCTTGACTTAAACTGGTTGTCAGAGTCAACTGCACACTTTCAAATACTGTATGCAGTAGTGCTTGATAAGATTAAAGTGGAAAGTCAGTTTCAGTGATTCTATTTCTTGCTATTACTAGGGGTCTGAAAAGTCACACTCTTAATTGGTAAATACGGCTTCCATTATGCCCCTTATAGTCAGGGTCCCACTATATCAGTGCGAACATTACATCGGCATGCGTGGACTCTCCATATCCGCGTCAGGACAGGGAGGGGTTGTTGGATACCGATGTCCAGGTTCATCGTCGCCTGATCGTCGACACGATGAAATCGTGTATCGGAACGCTGGGCTCACCCATACTGGTGTAGGGAAGCCACGTATACCGATTTAATGTTTGTCCTGTCATGGGGACCGGGGGGGGCGACTGACGACCGGGGAAATGCAATAAGCCGTATCTTCCAATTTCGATAGGGACTTTTCAGATACCCTGTATTGTAATCGGCATCGTCTGGTCGTCAAAGGAAATGGAAGTGACATCTTCATTTGAAATGAATGGCTAGTCGTCCAGCACATGTGCGCTGCTCCCATGTCCCCAGGCAATCCCAACGGTTCCTCGGTTCAAGGCCTTGGTTCGGCTCCTTGCCTGTAGATCGTATCGCATGAGAGGGCATGCTCTGAGTTCCAAGGGGGTGGCCCCGGGAGTGCTAGCGATCCATCTGCACGGCTTTTCATTTCCTTAATTTGCCGTTCTTCCGAATTCACCTGCCCCCTTAACCTCCATCTCGCTCCTGAACGACCTTGCTGACGTCACTAATGCCTGGCCCAGGAGTAGAGCTCACATGCTTTTCGTCATGCTTTGCATCACGCCCACCCTTGATTAGTTCCTGTAGGTGCTCCATTTGTTTCTTTCATGTCTCCGAGATCATTCACCCATGTGAACCATGCCAAGGCAATGCTAATTCATGTGACCTCTTAGCTGGTACACTTGCTCAACTCGTCTTCATACGCATCCCCTACTCAGGACTCATGCACCTTTCATTTCTGCACAACGCATCACAATCTTTAATCCTTGATGATACGAATAATCTGTATATAAGCTGGCTGATGATGTTTCAGCAATCGATTCTGAGAGAGCGTCATCTGGCACGGATTAGTCGTTGGAATGCGAGATGGAGGCGAAACTCCTTAGGCTCGCAGAATCAAAAATCTAGTTTCTCCCAACAACGAGTCTTATCAAACAGCCCTTTTTCAGCGCTTCCAAGGACACTAACGGAGTAAAACCAATGAACGGGTTTATCCTCTTGCCCTCTGAAGCGTCCTTGGATTCCTCCACAGATGCGAACGACCCCCACGTCTACATCGCGGTCGCGCAGGCAACGAAAATCCCCTCCGTCACATCCTCGGGGTTCCACCTCACCAGCACGATCTCGCTTCTTTATGCATTCCTGCCCTTCGGCAAGAAACACCCACACCTCTTTGCGGCCCGATCCTAATTCTCGCTGATTCCCACCGACGGTACTTATCCTCCTTTCTCTGCTACCGCTTCCTCCTTTTGAACCCCTTTTGCATGGTAAAACCAACAGCGAAGTTTCACGCCATCGTTCAGAGCCTTCCAGCGTCTCGTGTCGAGTTCTCCCATTTTCCATTTTAGCCGACGGCAAAAATGTTGATGCATGCGACGTTGACGACCTGAAAGCTGGATTAACGCTACTTCAAATGCGTCAAATCTGCAAATTTGCCCCCAGGTCTTTCTCCACATAAGTACTATGCCACCTCAATTCGATCAAGAACATTTCATGACCTCCCAACAAGCCTTTAATACACTGCTGAGAGGCTGGTTCATCCAAAATAACGCTCACATGATTAGCACAGGATTCCTCTCTCTCGCTATCTCTTTCTTGGCTACGGACTTCATCTTTCATATCGTGGTAAAGTAACTTTCGCAAAGTTGCTCGCCGAAATCTGGAGGGGAATCTGCTACCCTTGCCAGGGTGGCAAGGGTAGCAGATTCCCCTCCGGCATTCCTAAGCTTGTGCAAAATCCTCCGACTTCCAATCCATTTCTAACCACCTTTGCGAACCTGCGAACGAGGTTCGCGGGAACGGGAATGCCTCTTCCCGGGAAATGGACGGGAAGGATGAAAAAGGATGGGGAAAATATATGGCAGAAGGTGAGGTAAGGAAATATTCAATGACGGGATAAGGGTAGTAAATGAGATTTTCTTGTCAAAACGTGGAGGACAACCGATATTTTAAATCTCTTCTGTCACGGAGGGACAGCCGTATGATCCTTGCATTTCCCGAATATGATTGGAGCCTCGAACGTAAGGCCTGCTGCCCTATCATTGTAGGCTGCTGAGAATAATAACTCGACACAAATCCAGCGACCCCAATTTTTGGTGCCGTTGAGAGGTCAAGGCTCGATCTAGTGAACTCTGAATCACTGATTTTCAGCTGTCATCTCGAATATGTGAAGCACGCTCGTTTGCCTTTCCCGTTCTAGTACATGGAATACTCGCATTCTACTTCGAATATCGAAAACAACTGTTCTTGAAGGAATGAAGAATGAGTCATTCAAGAGTGAATGACTCGAGGAAAAAGGCAGGGATACGAATGGAGGTTGGAATGGGACAAGTCACGTGGCTGGGACGGTTGCCTCCGGCAGAGTTTAAGCAGTATAAGCTGCGATTTCTCGCGCTATAACGGGTAGAAATGCACAAGCGACTCCTTTAGTTTCTTACCCACGTAGTCTTTCCGCTTTCCATCTTTCCGCACTCGTGCATAGTAATGGAGTTGGAATAGCGCCATGATGTCAGGGGATAATAGGTACGGAATTAGCATTCGATAAAATCTGGAAGCGCCGTCCATAGTTCATGGCCTACGGACTTGTTTGCTGTAACTCTGTTAGCTGAATGACTAGGGAAAAAAGTGGGGATCAATAGTTTCCCTTCATGTATTCTCTGCTTCAACTTTTTGTACATGGAAGACGTCTCAGGGAAAAATCACCCTTTAAAGGTTCGCGGGAAGCAAATCTGTTTTTCCTACACTGCCACTAGTTCTGCCTGTGCATCCCATTGGAGAGCAGGATTCAAGCCCACCCCTCTATATAAGCTTCAAGCGCTTCTTAATTCCATCCGCTGACTTAGTGTCCAACTTTCTTTTGAGAATCTAAACTGGGACTTCATTTCTGAGTCTGTTGACGACCAACTCGACTCTTAAAGGGGATCAGTACCCCTCAAAACCTCCCCAAAAGGCAACGTTTTTTGGAAAATAGTGGAAATATGGAAATGTCCTGCAAAGTAAAAATGTTTTAAGGAACCTTTAACTTTTACCCCTTCTTTTGGGCTGCGAAATGGTCCCTTTCTCGGAGAGAGAGAGAGAAGGAGAGAGATAAACTAGTATCTTTCATGTCTGTCTTCTCAATTTTTTAAGCTTCTTAGTTTTAAATGTCAAATTATATCTCCTTTGCTGTTGATGAAGATATTAAACTGAAATTTGGCAAACATATTGGTTGATGCTCATCCTTTCAGGATTCAGAGCAATTTTCTAAATAAATGGTTCTTCCTTATTTTGAAAGAAATATAACCAACAATTCTAAATTATATATCAATTTTTTACATTTTTATTTTAAATAATTTTATTATTATTACTGGAACTGGCTTCTTTGTTTTGCAGTTGATTAGGAGTGTGCGTGTATGATTTCAACTCATTTGGCTAGTTATTTACGGAGGAGATGGATTTTATAATATTTTTTGTAAACTGCGAATTGAATAGCTTTTATCTCATAAATAACTGAAATTTGACAAAAGTTGGTATATATCACACTAAGTACGGTTGTAAATATTTATTATTCAGAATTTTATCGTCTGAAGGATCTCAAGCATCCATAAGAACGCTCTGTTTCTTCTACTGCATTATGGTCCTCATAACCCATCTCATTTGGGATGCCACAAATGCTACCGATCCATATTCCTTCGAGTTGTTCGTGAAGCCAATCAATCCCTTATAACTTTTGGCACACTGCTCGAGAAACTGCTCGGCCAAGTCCCCAAGGGACTTCGCCATCTGACAGACAGATAGGATTCTAGGCTTGGGATGTCTTCGGATGATTGTGGGGCCTAAGGATAATGAACTTCCTACTAACGGTGAATATATCGCCAACCTCATGAAGTCATTTCTCCCTTCTCATTTCCTTTCACATGCCGCCAATCTCTTGCGTATCATTTGGCCCCTCCCCGCAGTCTTCCTTTCTTTTCCAGTCTGTCGCCGCGCTTGAAATCCTTGCAATCATCTCGCGACTATTACTAAGGAAAGCCACTGATCTGAATCATTGTGAGATTCCCCAAAAAGATTGCGTTATCAGTCGCTCTCCCTTTCACCCTCATCTTAGCAATTCATTAAATGCTAGAATTTTCCCAATAGCCCTTAAGCACGGCAAGCTCATCGCAATCGGCGATAAAGGATATATGGACAAAGCTTCGAACTATCCCCCAATCACTATTCTACCTGTCATGTATAGGGTTTCGGAAAATTGTTGCAATATCGTCTCATTTTTACTTCAATTCCGTTTCTTTCATCTCAGTCTCTTTTTTTGCTTCCGCAGCAATTTAAGCACTCAAGACGTATTACTTCATTGCCTCAAAGAGGTACATTGTTTCCCAAACGAGAACCAAGTTCTCTCGGAGGATTTTATAATGTCGCCAAAGCCTCTGATAACATTTCTCATAAGTTGCTCTTGCAGAAGCTGAAACCGCTTGGGATCTGCAGGGTATTGCTAACTCGCGATTTCATTCATGCCTCTCGAAGCGCAGATGGAAGTACATCAGGTATCGTACTGGTCGCGTTCATATATCTGAACCGATCAAAATAACTACTCGGCCCTCCTCTTCTTAACCCTCCATGTTCCAATGTGACTTCGGAGTAACAGACTGAAAATGATAATTCATCATGTGGAATTTTATAGTCATGACACTGTGATTCAGTATATCTTTGAAGTCACACTCTAGTTGCGCTAATAAAAGGTTAATAAAGGTTAGTAAAATCAATAACGGTGTTTGGTCGTGCTCAGATTAATGTTAATTAAATTGAGTCACCAGTTACGTTTATTCTTGTATGAAGTTAATTCAGGGCATAAAGGGTTATGTTATATTAACGACGTTCCCAATGTTCGCTTCACGCTCTTTCCATAATACACCACAGCATGCTTCCCCGTTCCCCGGCACTCCGCTCCCATCTCTAATGTCCCGTGGCCAGGCCCTACTATCGCGGACAAACAAGAATGGGTTTGACCTCAACGCTACAAAAACAACACGGTATTTTTTTTTCGTCCGTCGACATAACGGTTCCTCATCCAACGACTTGACCAATTTTCTTTGTATTCGATTGAACTAATATTTCTTCTGGGACTATCAGTTGGATCACGTCTATAGTCTTTTGAAATACGCTGCAGCCTTTATGTACCGTCTCTCATTCTTTCGCAGGAATTCTGGAATATCGCAGGAGTATCTATTCTGCACTTGCCTACCTCCGTTGAACTATGGAGTATTTGCTTGGGGTCATTGGTCCGCACATCGTACTCTCACCTCAAAACGTGTTGTCAGGGTCATACTTTACGAAACTCAGCATTCGTACCGCATGCTGCCCTCTGTTCCTTACTCAAACATTTTCACTTTCCCCAGCCTGATTCACATTCATGCCTATGTCTACTTTCATAAAAATCATGTCTAAGGGTGAAACTTGTTCTAAGGCAGATACACGTTCCCTCAATACGCGCAGGAAGAATGACAACTACCGCATAATCTGCTCATCTGCTATGGCTGACAGACTGATCTTCCTCTGGGGCCCACAGAATTTAATTCTATCCCCAGGGCAATTAGAAAATTTGAGCCTTCCGCGTTCCAAAGCCGGATAAAGGGGCCTTCTCTTTTACATGTTCTATTCATTCTCAGAATTCCTCGATATTGTCTGGTAAAATCCCTCCAGCGGTATGGTTAGCGGTTCTCCTCTGTCCTTTTGGTGTATTTCGCCTCCCACGTTCCTTTTCAGGCTTGCTTGTTTTATCTCTCCCATCCCCAATTTACCGTTTAGGTCTGTCGTTCTATATATTGTCCTATTTCTTATCCCACACTCCTTTCAGTTTCTGTTGCGTGTGCGTATTATTGTGTGCGCCCTTTTTTTTTTTATTCTACCCCCCCAATTTGCCCAATTAGGTCCAAATTTTGTAAAGCCCACTCTTTACCATCAGCCAATTTGGCTTATCAATTTTGTACTCCCCCCCCCCCCCCCCCCCTTTGTTGCCTCCTCCTTAAGGCATGCGCATGTGTAAATATCCGGTCACATCGTCAACTCGATGGGACTGATGTTCTGGAAGGAGTGATGGCATTTGTTCTCCCATTCAATAATTTTTAAGAAGTGCCAGCACATGTTATTATGGTTAGCCAAGCAAAGGTGAATCACCATTCACGCATCTATTGTCAGGCAAGCTTTGCTTAGGTCTACTTGGACACAATTTGCCCAAGTTTTCATCAAAACGTTTCTAATTTTGATTGGCAATGTAGTTGATTGCATCATGCCCTGCAGCATATGCTTAGGTATGCTTTCATTGTGTTAGTATTTTTTATGGGATGTTATTCAGACTCACATGAAAGACTGTACTAGTATAGTCTTTTCTCCCTGTATGAAGATATATTTTATGACATTCAGCTCTACCTTTTCCTGACTCCCTAGGACACAGGAAGAATCTAAATGAAATGTATGCACAAGGGCCCTCATTTGTCAGGATGTCCAAGACAGGGAAATCTTGTTCATATATTGCCTTAGCCTATATATTGATGTAAATCATCGAAGAAAAGTATTCTAGTTTTTCTTTCTTCCTGTGCAGATGCTTCATGGGATCAAAATCAAGAAGGCAGCACGCATGGTGTACCATGAGGGCTTCCACAACCTCTATCGGGGTTACCTTCCACCCCTCTGCCAGAAGACTACATCTCTTGCTTTGATGTTTGGTGTCTATGATACATTTCAGAGAGAGATTCTCCTCTTGGACCCAAGCTTGAATCGGCACATTGTGAATGCTGTTTCTGCATTTGGTGCAGGAACTGTAGAAGCAGTTTTGACTCCTTTTGAAAGAGTTCAAACACTCATGCAAGACAAGGCGTATCATGGGCATTTCAGGAATACTCTCCATGCTTTTAGGTTTTTATGGCCTTTTGGGATAGCAGAATATTACAGAGGACTCGTGCCAATTCTCATTCGTAATGGACCCTCCAACATTCTGTTCTTTGAACTAAGAGGTGAAGTAAAGGCTCACCTTCCTATGCCAAGGTCTTCTACTTGGTACACTGAATTTTATGGTGACTTTGTGAGTGGTGCATGTATTGGAGCCTTCATCAGCACCCTATGCTATCCTCTCAATGTTGTGAAGACTCAGATGCAGAGTGTCGTTGGTGAAAAGGAATATACCCGGTTTCTTCAGGCAGCCCATTATGTATATGAGGAACGGAATAGAAGTTGGCGAAGGATATTCCGTGGTTTCCACTTGAATTACACACGTGCCTTAGTCAGCTGGGGTGTGATTAATGCCTCGTATGAAGTTCTTCGTAAATTTGTGTACTAGACGAGTGTTGCCATGTACCTTGTGATATTCAAGTGCAATGTTTACGTAGCGCATACGTCTATACTCTATTCTAGAGTCTGTTGTCTTGGAGAATAGTTTCTTCTCCTGTTATTAGGTTCCCATGGAGGAAGTGCCTGATTCTCAGTTGCTACAATTTAAGGACCTCCTAAGTTACAATCTTACTCTCACTGTTTTGTGGCATCTTGAGTCATCTTTCTGAGACTAGACCAATTCTGTGATCTTTGGGCCTCACAACTACAATGTATGCAGTTGGTGAAATCCCTCAGAGATTTTTATCATTTAAATATTGAATGTGGACTAGAATGTCAATATTCTATGGTCCTATTCAATAAGACCAGTCTGTAATTTGTGTTGGAATTTTTCGCAGGAATCTTCCAGAACTTGTTGCACTGCCTGGCCTTTGGCCTTCTCGCTTTTTTCCTTCCCTGTGTTGCTTTAGTTAAATTTGAGTATCTTCATGTGGGCCTTACGTAATGCTTATGTTTCATTGCATTTGAGTGAAATGAACTGTTTGACTCTTTGGCTCCATATATCCTCTGATACAAGAAACATCTGCAGAGGTACAAAATTGATAAGCCAAATTGGCTGATGGTAAAGAGTGGGCTTTACAAAATTTGGACCTAATTGGGCAAATTGGGGGCGGGGACCTGATCCACCATCCCCTCCCCACCTGCCCCCTAGGAATTCCTCACTGTTCTCTTGGTGTGGTCAACTGTTACTTTATGATTTGCAGTCAATTTGTATCCCTTTCTTCAATAGCCGGCACATTATAGGTTTTATGAAAAGGTTTTGAACCTTGAGTTCCAGTTTTGCACTTTGCATGATCTATCCTTCACAAATACATATTCTGCCAAATTGGGCTATTTGCAAGGAGGGAAAGTAGAGCTTCACACAACTAAGGAAATGAAGAAGCCACAAATCTTTTCCTAAAATGTATTATTTTTCTTTTATCCTTAGAAAGTAGAGAACTTTGGGATCAGAGTATCTTGATGAACCAACTATTTATTGAGAGATTGGGTAGCCAAGGAAGCCATTGTGAAGTATGAGGTAATTAGTTATGTGTTGTCTGCTGTCAACATTAAAAAACTACCATTCAGGCATTTGCTTGAGATTTTGAAGTGCTGAAAAAGTTGCCAAATAGGTTATATTTGCCTTTTACATGCAAAATGTAACTTAAAGGGTACATACTCATTTAGCTACCAGGCATTCACTCAAATTTAATCCTTCTCTTTGGAATAACGATTTTTGTTTTGAGTTACTGGTTTCCCAAAAATGCTGTGCATCTCGTTTCCATAGGAACCTATTCAATTCACCTGAACTGGTCTTGAACATTATTTTTGTTTCAGGTACTGATTGTCATTATGATGAAGATGATGAACTATGCAGAGAATATATCATTTCCACTACTGGGTATAATAGTAATAACATATCTTGCAATGAAAAAATTGACTTGTACTGTGGTCCAGTCGATGAAATAGCTAGAGGGGGTGGGGATGAGACATAGGGAATGTTCTCCTGTTTTGGACGTTAATATGAAAATTTACGCACTTGTTAAGTAGACATTCCTTAACTTCCTCTTGTCAGCCCTAAGATTTCCCAAAATAGAATTGGAACTCCGAATACGTGTAATTCGCCAATACTTGCTTTGATGTTATCGTTGCATGCGAAATGTCCACTTTCTTACGATTTGAGACGTGCTCCAGATTTTCAGGGGTGGATCTGTGTATCTGAAGTACTGTACAAGCGAAAATTCACCTGGGACACCGTCGGCACGTCCATGAGCTCGTTCCCGAGTTCCAACTCCTGACACTTGAACATTCCCTATGTCTCATCCCCACCCTAGTTTACATGTCTTACCCTTGCTTCCATTTCACCGTTTCTCCTTCCCACGCCAGTCTGTCGCGCCCGGCGCCTGAAGTCTATGTATCAGAATCAGACAGCATAGTGAAGCACGGAGACGAAAAATTTTGTCTCGGCGACTTGTTTCCACGCGGGAAAATTTACGAGTAGGGTGCATTTAATTGCTCTATTTGCGAACATACAGTGTTAATTGCAGCTTGTACGGTATCAGCCTGCCAGAGATTACAGAACCAGGTCATTAGGCGAGGGAACGCTATTCGAGTCTTAAGTGTGTTTTTAATTGCAGGTGATGCAAGTACATAATCACCGTTTTTAAATGCAGCTTTTTCCGCTGCAGCACTCCAAACCTATCCCAGTAAATTCCGTTGTGGAGGCAGAAAACAGCATGAAATTCAGAAAAAAAAATGCGCCACAACTTTATGGGAGAGGAGAGGATGTCAATGCCATAACCCCCAAAGATATGGATGGCTTGACGCGTGCCAAATCTTATGGGTTTTTTTTTCTGGGTCTGAGGAGGTTAATGGATCCCCAGCACCAAAATTATTAATACATTGATTCATTGGACGCTGACGTTGGATTATGGACGTTGCATCATTTTCAATATACATGGTGAGTGGAAAATGGCTATTTAATCTCAATTTGAATGTCTCAAAAGCTAGAGAAGAGGTAAACAGAGCTTTTTAAAATTTACTTTATTGTCTTCAGGATTTAAAAATAAAATTCCAAGTTCGTGTTTGTGACACGCTCAAGGATAACATTTAGTAAATAATTTTTGTGCAGAATGGCGCCCCACCTCATTTTGTGGGATAGTTCCTGCTACTGTGATGTCCTGCTACTGCTACTGTATATATATATATATATATATATTTTTATGGGGACTCAGAAAAAAATATCTACAAAATTTTCAAAAATGGGACGAAGCCACCCGAGACCAAAACTCGGAAAACCACCAGGAAAAAAGATTAATTTTATGACGTCAGGTAACAGGTGCAGGGATGTGGTAGGATTAAGGCACAAGTTTTTAACTTTTAAGGATGGAAGTATTACATGATGTGATATGGATCGCTTACTTTTTCTACCTTAGGAGAAAAAGTAGAGAAAGTTTGAAACATCGCTCGAGTGGAAGCACTCATTTAAATCCGAGAAAGTATTTTTTCCCCCTCGTTCATCAACAAGGAACCGAAGCTCCGAAATCTGGACGCATCGGAGCGCGATGTCCGTGTGAAAGCAGGTTGGTCATTTCAGGGAAGCGGAAAGGGTAAGCAGTCCATTACAGTCTATTGCAGTCCTTTCTACTTCCTGGAAAATAAAGGTGGACATGGATAAGGGGGGCATATAAGAAATATCCCTTATTTCTCTAAATATCCTTATTTCTGCCATGGTATCGGAACTCATTTTCCCCCTCCAAACCTGTTTTGGACGTTAATATGAAAATTTACGCACTTGTTAAGTAGACATTCCTTAACTTCCTCTTCATTCCTCTACCTTGACCGGGAACGTCGGTAGTTAACGATTCCGTCGGTAGGGGGCAGCACAAACTTGTAGTACCCAGAGAATAGTGTAAGCACATGTTTGCCGTGAAAATGGCTGCTGAGAAAGAACATTGTATTAGAAGGTTCATGCAAAAGAAAAATGAAAGAGCTGTTAATGCTCTCCGACGTTTACAGGCCGTGTTCAGAGTGTTCTTATCCAAAACTTAACAAAAAATTTGGATAATCCCTGAGCCCTGTCACTGCATCCGGCACGCAGTCGCGATCAGGCTCCGTCGATCTGCTTGGCGTTGTGAAACGTGGCTTACGAGAGCATGAAAGCCGTTAAAGCAGCTGTAAAAGGGTGGAATCGTAACGCTCTAACAGATTTTCAGGAGAACGTATGTAATCTAGTGCCGTAATAACAAATATGTATTGCGGGTAACAGTGATTTTAAGGAGAAGTTGAGGAGGCATTGCTTAACGTTCGTGCAAATTGCCTCGTCCAATATCTGCAAGATATTTGGAGGAAAAATAATGAAATCCTGATACTCGACCGGATTCAGATATTGAACTGTCTCGTCAGTTGGGTAGGGGGTGTAGCAGGAGAGCCTTTTCGTGGATTTTTTCTCGCCTTGGCTTAAAAAAAAAAAGGAATTCCTTTGCGTTCTCAAAATGATCCGAAAGACATTAGTTGAATAAAACGTCTAATTTTTGTTCGCCTCCTCTGTTTAAATGTTTAAATATGAAGCTCCGTAGTCGTTGTTGCTTCGCTTGCACTTGAGTATTGACTGCATCGGCCCTGTTTTCAATCAACCTCGAGACAGCAACAAGACCAACGCGGACTCGTTAAAGCGCCCACAGAACGGCTGGAACGAATTTCGAGATCACCGTTGAGTGGCTCTCGCCAGTCCATCAGCCATGAAGGACTTTTTACGAGTGAATCCCATACAGAAGGATCGTCACCGAACCGTGGCCCTTGCTCCATATCCACTCGAGTTCCCTGACGTTTGAGATGGAAGAGTCTCGCAAAATGCGGGCAGACGACCATGAAAACGTGCCAAGTTGCGACAGGGGCCGAAGGGTATTTAAGGACGACTGCGAAAAATTCGCGATTGACTCCCCTGCGACCGAAATGTCGTCTGCCTCGAATCGCTTGGTTGTACCGTATGTCCTCCCGTTCTTCGGCAAGAACATCCTAGAGTTACTCGGTTTTTGAGTCTCAACATCGAAAAGATCTCGTCGGTATCGGTTGGCACCGACGAGGTCTTATCGCAATCCCCAAAGCTCCCATTCGAGCGTTCAGTGGGATATTTGACCGCTCCGCGATCCAGAGCAACCCCCGCATGCAAGCGCGTGACCGTGAGTCAGCTGATATCGGACCCTCACATAAGAACCAGACCGGCGCGCAGGCGCTTTATCAGACACTTCAGCGCCCTCGTCCGTGCATCTCGTCACACAGAGTGAGTCCACGCATTAATTTATTTTTACTTGTCGGGATCTTTCCGGTTAGTGCGAGTTGGAACAGAACAGGCGAAACCGACCCCAACGAAGCGATTTCGCCGGTAACAATTATTTTCCACAGATGAAAGGGACTTCGGGTAGAAAGAAAACGTGGAAGGAACTTTTCCTTCCCATACGAAAAAATGTG